TGTGTGTGTGTGTATATATATATATATATATATATATATGTATATATATGTGTGTGTGTGTATATATATGTATATATATATATGTATGTTTTTATATATTAAATCTTTCCTCACTACAAGGATGCAAGCTCATTTTGGTTCATATAGTTGCACTTCAACTGCTGAGATCCGAAATAGTTATGAACCAGTCTGTTTGTAAGCAGGCTGCATGTCAGTCTTAATTTATTTCAACAAAAATACACTCCTTCTTCCCACGTTTTTCCTTGATTACAATGATGAAACAGCCTAAGTTCTTGAAAATTTCATGCCTCAGCTGTCTCACACAATTTGCTTCATAAGCTATACAGTAAGTATCTAATAAAACTTTTGTGTATAGTGATATTCATTTGTAAATTTACATGTTTTATATAAATATATATCTATATCCAGCTCTCTCTATATATATATATATATATAATTAACTATTTGGTCTTTTGTTTATAAAATAAACAATACATGACTGTTTGGCATTTCATCTCCCTTTCTTAAACCACAAACTTGAATTTCAGTTGTTTCACTTCTTCGGATGCTTGTTTTGTTTTTTATTTTTTTTTTGTTTTGTTTGTTTTTTTTTTTTGTTTTATTTTTTTTTTTTTTGTTTTGTTTTTTTTTTTACTATAAGATTTTTTTTTTTGATTTGTTTGTTTTTTTTGTATTTGTTTTGTTTATCATTTTGGGAATATTTTTTTTTGTTTTGTTTTATTTTTTGGGAATTTTTTTTCATTGGCAAATTTTTTGTTTTTTGTTTTCGTTTTGTTGTTTTTTGATTTTCACTTTTTTTTGTTTATTCCTCATGTTGTTTTTTTTTCCTTTTGTTGTTTTTTGTTTCTTTTTTTTTTGTTTTTTTTTCCATTTGTTATAAAGAACAGTTTTGAACAAGAATGTTTTGTTTTTTTTTTGTTTGCATTTTTTTTTTTCACTTTGTTTTTAGTCCATTTTTATTTGTTTTAATACTTTTTTTTCAGACATGTGTTTATTTTTTCGCTTTTTTTTTTTTTTAGTACCTTTTTTCGTTGCTTTTGGCAAGTTTTTGGTTTTTTTTTTTCAGAATGGCCACCAGAACATTTTTTTTTTTTGGATGTTCTATTGTTTTTTTTGGTTTTTGTTTTCATACTTTTTTTTTTAAGTCAACTGATTTTTTTTTCATCAATATTTTACTATTATGTGTTAATTTTTTATGTCGAATATAGTCATGTTTATATCTTTTAATGCCGTTTCTTTCTTCTGATATTCATTCAAATTTATTTTAGCTAAAATTAAATGTTATATTTACCAATGTTGTTTTTTTTTTCTAATTCGATATTTTATAAAATTGGTGATTACATTTTGTTTAAATCCCCTTTTTTGTTTTTTATTTAAAGAACCTTCAAACTCTCAGGACAAAGGTTGAATATTTTCATTATTTTGTGCTTAATATAGCTATTGACAGAGATTCATGTAATCCAATTTATGGATAATCTAATTTAATCAAGTGAGTATATAATAATTTAATTCAAAAAATTTTTCATTATAAAATTTATAAGTGCAATAAAATTACTTCTCTCAAAAATCTTGAATGAAACTTTTTTTAATCCGTTTGAAAGAAGGGATGAATCATATTTTACATCTAAAATATTGTTTGTAATAGTTTTTGTTAAAATATTCTGACAAAATGATTATTTTTTAAATATACAAAATTTGTTATGATTTGATTTGGTTAATGAACAAACGCCATAAAACAATGATTAAAAAAGGGTTTTAAAAGGTATCAAATTCTACTGAATGCATCATTTGGCTAACCTATTCCATAATTTTTATGCAATAAATATTTGTTGCCTTATTTTTCTTGCTTTTGCTATTATACATGTTCCTGCTAAAGTCTTTGTGTAATAGACAAAATTTTAAGTTCATCTTCAAGTTTTAGTACCTTTTATGATAAAAAACTCGAGTGCTTCTTGTATTTCCCATTTTTTTCACTAGAACCTAAAACTATTCGTTATTTAAACAATTTTGTTTTGAAGTTTATTTTTTGTTTAATTGTTAAATCTAGGTCTTCTAATTTAAAAATGTTTTAGTGATTCCAAAATGTAATTTTATTTTAATAAAATTTAACATTGTTCTTTATCAAAATTTTTTGAACATTCCTTTATTTGATAACAAATTCTTAATCTTCATTTTGGGTAAAAAAAACAAAAGTATAAGGTTTCAAGTTTAGCTTCTTTAACCCTTTTCGTCTTAAAAGTAACATGTCCTTTTTTAAATACTTTGTAAAAGCGCCTGAACACACATTTTTTTTTTAGTTTTCTATATTTTTGAGCCCTTTTTTTTCTCAAAAGGAACTCAAAATGCCTATTATAATGGTGGACTTGTCTGAATTATTTTTTAACATCTTTTACAAAAAATTAATATCCTTTTTAGTTAATACCAAAAGAAAGTTAACTGTTGTTGGCTTCAATGAATCTGAATTTTCTGTTTTTCCAGAATATGGATTTATGTTCAAATGCACATAAATTAGTTATTATGTTTGTTTTGAGTGTACATGGAGGTGCTTCAGAGTTCTCAGAGTGAACCATTTTCCAAAATTTGACTAAATGATCAAACATCAGCACCACCTCATATAATCTCTGCAGGTTAATTTCTTTGGTATTAAATTAAGTAGTATGAACATATTTAATTGTTTATAAAATTCATAATTGACATTTTTAAAACTTAACAAAAATTATTTTTATTTTAAGATTGTTTTATTTACAAAGATTTAAATATTTTGCATTTTTTCTTAACAGCTGATTACCGATATTTTTAACTATGTATAGATATAATTTTGAGGTCATGTTCTGCAAAGAATAACGAAAACCTTTTTAATTTATATTCCTCGACATGTTCTTCCTTCTCAAATCTATTAATTGGTACAAATGAAGTTCTGTTTAATTTTAGAATGAGTTCTTTATGGCAACCATGTCCATGTTTTTAATTTACTTTTTCTTTATGGAAATTGTTTTGTCCTCTTCGCATTTTATCAAGCTGTTCTTGCTTGATGGTGGTGAAATTAATTTAAAAGGTCTGTTTCCCTACCTATAAGGTTCAATAAAACTAAAAACGTCATATAAACCATTTTATTTTTTTTCCGTTGGAAAGTCAATTTTAGCATCCTGCAACAGAAATTTACAAAACATCCGGTGAATTAACCCTCAACATTGGTTTTGATAAAATATTTGACCTTAAAATTTTTTTATTTCAAAATGCAACTATTCTCGACTATTGTACCACCAATTAGGGCCATATTCACAAATGTTTAAGCCATTGTAAACAAAACCATATTCAAGTATAAAAATACATTTTTAGAAAAATGCCAACAATAAATAAATTTATTTAAAATTCCTAGCAATAGATTTGACTTTTTTTTGATAAAAACCCTTTTTTAAAAATACTTTTAATAAAGCCTGCTCCAAGTTTTGGTTTCTAAAAGAAAAAAATATTGTATTCAAACGAATACATCCTAAAAATCTTTTTGGCATTTCAGTAAATCTTTGAGATTGATATGCCTTAAAAAAAAAAAAAGAATCGACCAAGGTCTATGACTTAAGAAAGTTTGGTGTGCAAAAAAGAATCAGGGACCTAAAATCAAATAATATTTTCTAGTAGTAAACAATATCTTCTGGATCCTCTTAACAGTAAGAAATTCATCATGCCCTTTTAAGTATAGGAATAATTATGCAGGGAAGCCTTTATTCGTCAAAACATAGCATTTTTTTTTAGATTACCATTCTATCGTTTCCTTTTATTCCAACTCTTTCGTTGTGTTATTCCAATGAAAATTGCAAGAGAACATATCCCTTTTTTCTGGTAAAGGAGCTTTTTTTTTTTATTTTTTTTTTTTTTTTTTCGATCAACAAAACAATGGCATATATTCCTTTTAGAACTGGCCACACGATTTTGCTCAATTTTCATATCTCCTGATGTCTTATATATTTTTTACAATTGCCCATGTATCATAGATTTTTAGCGGAAATCTCTGTAATGTATATAAAGTTCTGAGATTTTTTCATTTTTATAGTAAAAGAAAATATACCATGAATTGAACGGTAACCCTTCCGAGCTAATTATTTTGGGAAAAACGTTTCATTTTCAGACAAATTTTTATACTTGATTTTTCTATAACTAAGAAACTGTGGCTTTGAATTACCTAAGCGGTGGCTTAAACCTCTACGAGACGTTTCTGTTGACAATTTCTTGTTTCAAGCTGCACAGGAAAAGTGCATAAAGAGAATCAAGATCCACGGAGAATCACCTTACTGTAGGTGGTTTTCTGTACATTGTTTTGAACGTCTTTATTCGTCTATGTCCAAAGACGCTTTTGGCAAAAACGCAATAAGTCCTTCCTATATAGTAGAGAAGGCGTTAATGAGCAAAGAATAGTGAAAATAAACATCTCTCCCTTTATCTTGTTTACAAGTATTATGCATAAATAAAGTAGTATATGTATTAAGATAAATAATTTTAACCATTTTAAACATACCAACTTACCAACCTTGAAAGTTTTTTTCTAAATGTAGCACATGTAACAAGTGACTTTAAAATAAAGACAGGAAGGCAGTTAAACGATCATATCTTTTTTTAGACAACCATGGGTTCTCAAGTTAACGGTTCCATCTACCTCGAGGCTGGGAATTCAGAGTTGTTGTTGTTGTTGTTTTTTGTTTTATCTCTATTATTGTCGCCATCACAATGTTTTTGGCTTCACATGAGATCCCCACACTCAGCATTTATCAGGTATGTAATTGTTGTCATCTATATGCAATCCATAGACGTCTGACGAAACTTCCTGAACAAAACACAATATTTTCTTGATACGCCTGGTGAAAACCGCAACGACTGATAAACTTTCATCCTGTTTCTATGTTTAATCTTCTTCTGCGCCTCTGCTTTCTCCTTTCATCTCCTTCCCCGTTACAAAAGAGAGTCCACTTTTACATTCTCCCCAGACGCCGACGTTCGACGTTTTATCTCCTTTCTGCCATCCTTCATTTGCATGCGTGAATCCACTTTCCGTGGCTTTATCGAGACTCACCATCTGTGAGGATGGGGGCACCATTCGCCACAAATTGGGTGGGGCAGCCATGTTTCTTTTTCCTATAAAAAGATAAACCTTGCACCAGGAACATATACGCTGCCTTTGCGATCAGGTGGGAGAATATCTATCGTTCTAATTATCCTGACAAGATATTGTCGATCAATCCAGACATTTCTGGAGAAAATTTCAAACTGAAATCTTTATTTAATCTATGGCGGTAAATTGTCCTTGTTTTTGTCTCAAAATCTCGTTTTTTTTTTCAGTTTTTTTCCATGTCTCCAGGTAGATAACCCGAATATAGCTAAAACGTTGGTTCGTGAATTTTGTGACATAGTAATTACTAGTTCAATTGAGGGTCACTACAGTTGCATTGGACCATATTAAAAAACCAAGTAGAGTAATAACTGATAATTGCAAAATAACATCTACATGGTTTTGTCCATGCCTAATAATGAAAAGAACATTTGTGATAGCATCTTTTCCCTGTCAATGCGTGTCCTGGTATGACGATAAACTGCATCCAGCAGCAAGGCCTCTGATCAGGAGGTTTTGAGGTAGCGTTGAACCGCCTCTTAGTTGCTGTTGTTCCTGGCTTCACTCTGACCTGGTGGTGGTAGCACCTGTTAGGGTCCCAGCTATGGGTAAATAGTTTCCCCGCCTCCTTGACCTGGAATCGGAATACTAGGAAAGTGTAAGAATTTTTTTTTTTTGTAATAATAATACCATCAACACAAATTGCAGTATATAAAGTGCATATTCACAAAACCCGATTTCAAAAAATAAAATTTCCCTAAATGGGGCCACCCCGTTTGCCGTGGGTGGTGACCCGTGATGCCTAGGGACGGAGTCCTGGTGACTGAGTGATTCCTGATCTGGTATAAAATGACCATGAGTTTCCACAACATGTCACTTCGGTCCCTATCTGGGATAGACAGGCGGATGGAATAGCCCAATCCATTCCAATCGGCTAGTCACATTGTGGCAAGGGCTAGTTGAGATGATAGATAATGGGTCCGACAGGGCCATGAAACCTTACATCATACTATACTTGGGTAGATATGGTGAGGGAGTGCAGGTGCTCGTATCCACTCTCATCACAACTATACTGTCTGTGTAGCCCTGGCGGATTAGGGCGAATGGGATTAGTCCCCCTGATAGCGTCCCTTAAGAAGGAACTCCGAGGTGGGTGGGGAGCACAGACAGCGAATACAAAAATTAAAATTATATGGCTATCTCTTATAAGCAAACCAAGAGACAATATGAGACTTCTGAAAGCGAAAATGAAATAGAAAAAAATCAATTTCCAACTTTCATTGTTGTAGAATCAGTAGAGGGTGATATATCAAAAGTGTCTTCTTTCGTGTTGCAAAGGGTTATTTCAGACAATCTGTTAAAAAAATAAAGAAAAATAATACTTATTAATTCAAGTGATATCCAAAAAGACGCAGAAAATTGCTAAAAATCAAGCAAATTGACAACAAAAAAGTTAAGGCCTACCCCATCAATTTCTTAATTCATCAAAAGGAGTAATAAAATGCCCAGAACTGTCACTTTGTTCATCAGAAGAAATTGAAAAGGACATGCCCTAAAAAACAAGGAGTAACAAATGTTAAAAGAATTCAAATAAAAAGAAATGACACAGTAATAAACACCAACACATATTTTTGACATTCAACAAACCAACTCTACCAAAAGAAATAAAGATAGGATACACAATAGCCAAGGTAGAGCCATACATTCCTAATCCCCCCGTAGATGTCATAAATGTCAAAATTTTGTCATCTTCAAAATGTTTGTACGAAACATCAGTCTGTCGAAATATGGGGAAACTGGAAACTGAGTACATGAAGAATCACCTCTGAAACTGAAAGGCATCCCTTATGTCCAAACTGTAAAAAAAAAACATTCAACAAACTCCAAAAAGAGTGTAACATTTGGGAAAAAGGAAAAATAATTAGAAGAAAATACATACAAAATATCTCATTCCAAGAAGCCAGAAAACAGGTTGAATCTAATTCACTTCAAGCATCATATGCAAATATCACTAAAATATCAAATCAACAAAATGACATCCAAGAAAACAATGCATTAAGAAGCCAAGATCTTATAACTCTTCTAAATGAATTAAAAAGTTTAATAGAACTAATAAAATGTAGTATATCACTCACAAAAAAACAAACGCCCATAGACAAAAAAAAAAATCCTATCCTGTCAACCTCAAACAAAAAAAAGAATCTAAATATGAAAAAAATTTAAAAAATCACAAAAAAAAGTACAAAAATTCAAAGAAATAGAAACCTCTCAAACATTCTCAAGAGAGATCAAAAAATGCATAAAAAAAAAATACAAACCCAGTAAAAAAGATACAAAGATTATTGAAGAACTAAGGAAAATGGACATAGATGAACAAAATTCTATCCCATCTCAAATAAGGGAAAGATCATCATTCAGACAAAGATTGTTAAAAAACCTAATGGTAAAACTAAGGAAACAAAATCAAACAAGAAAGTAGAAACAAAAAAAGTTCAAAGAACAAAACTAACAAGAAACAAAAACGCTAATAGTCCAGAGTATATAGAAATGATGGACACTTCACCCATATAAAAAAAAAAAAGCATAAACATGTAAAAATTTATAATTACATATATAACTGTACAATCAAGATGCAAAAATACTTTATTCAAAAATTATTGTAACTGGAGCAAAACACATTGCTGAAGGAAAATAGGTTTTATTACCAGCAATACATAAAAAAAATTTACAACAATATATTTTTTTACCAAATATTTCCAGCAATACATTTTGAAAACCAAATATTACCAGCAATACATTTTTGAAAACCAAATATTTCAGCAAATATATTTAAATATATATATATATATATTTTGATATATATATATTTCAACAATGCATTTTGGGGGAAAAAGAAAAATAGATATTACCAGCTATACTTTTCACCTGACGGACATTTAGTGTTAATGGCAAAACACTGATTTATGGTATAAACAGTTAATTCTGTTTTGTAAATAGGGGAAATAGTAAAACAAGACTTTCATCTTTGAAACTAAATTAAAAAAATTGTTTGTCTAAAAACTCTGGTCTGTCATTTAATATTTAATTCCTGAAAAAGAACTTTTTTTTATTTAACATTTTATTTAAACTTATTCTTTTTTGGATATGAATTTTTAGAACATCAAAAACATAGAAATATGATGAACTCCATAATAATCTTCTAGTAAATAAAAAAGTATGTCTTAAATCTATATTTTGGCCTCTGCCTTGTATTTGAACTTTATTCACTAACTAGTTGGGACAAAGCAGTTCTGAACTTTTGTACTTCCACGTATTCTAATTTTTTACAATTCATCTTTCCTTCTTTCAAATATTAAAATGTTAAACTTGTCGTTTTTTTCTCAATTGGTAACTTATATAGTCAATATTCAGGTATTTAATTAACTATTTTTCATTGTTCAAATTGTCTCCTTTTTATGGGAAATCTATTGATTATTGTGTTATTGTGTCTCTGAAATAATTTTTGGTTTCACTTTTTATAAAATATATGAAGGGTAACCATTTAACTATTGAACTCTGTGATTGATGAGCGAATTATTTTCATTTCAAAATGAAATACAAAGGTTTTTTTTTTTTATTGGCTTAAATATAGCCGAAAGTTTTCCTCTGAGGACCTAACTCGTTTTCAGTCGTAATTGATCTAAAGAAATCTGTAACCCCCACCACTATGTTGAACTCCATGGTAAAATTTAAAATTAGGATGGATGTGGTGTAATCAAAATATATGGGGCACCCAGTGAGGATTTTTTTCACTATTAAAAAATGAAATATAAAGATTTTTTTAATTAATAAAATTATAGATGCAAACTTGGAAACACAGAGTAAGAGGTAAATAATCCAAAATTTGGCATGGATGAAAAAATTTCCTTTTGAAGATAATTAATAATTAAGCCTGCTACAAGTATATGTTGCAACATATATTGTTAATTGAATATGACGCCAGGATAGGTTGCAAAGGGTATACAGTGTAAAACAAAACGTTGATACAATGATCCTCAAACATATGCTTAATGGTAATATTGGTATAAAACTTAGTGTATATCTACTTTATCAGACCCCTTTATTCTGTGTATTTTTTTTCTATTAAATGATTTTTTTTTTTAAATGTTTCAGTTGAGGGAGTTTTTTTTAGGAAAATAAAGTTTCTGCCGATACTAAAGTTTGAACATTGATCACCAGAGCAAACACAGGCGATCCCATTATTGGCCATTACATACTGATCACATGAGCATAGAAAAACGCATATATGTAGGATATCCCGATTAGGGACAATTCACAACCAGGTGTCTATTCTATCTTCTAACACTGATATTAAATCGTTATTTTTAGTCTATCAGGAATTACTATATGGAGGCAATTCGGCTGAATTTACACTATTCTTTTAAAAAAAAAAAAAAAATTCGTTACACTAGTATTTTTCAGGATATTTTAAAGTTTAGTAACCTATTTTTGCTTTTTATTCGAATGATTACACACCAATTGTTCAACGGTAGGAATGTCCTATCTGCGATTACAGAGGTTGAAGGTGAGAGAAAAGTCTGAGCAAAGTGAGTAGAGGAAAGGAAAAAGTGTGAACAGGGTTTGAAGATACAAATACAAAAATGAGTTTTCAAAATATCGTCGTTGAAAATTGCTGAATATCTTTAAGAAGATATGTCCAGTACTTTTAATCATTCTGGGAAGTTTAAAAAAATTGAGAAGTGTTTTAATTTAACTTATCAATCTTTTCATAATCCGGTGTACTACATGCCAAGGTTTTGAATATTTTTAATCACCTCCTCCCAAGCAAGACGGGAGTACCATTATTGTCGCAGGGGTTAGAGAAAATATTTGAAAGAGAAGACTGGAGGAAAGCGGGATTGAGGAAAGGATAAAAGATGAACGGGGTTCAAGTTCAACATCAGATGACGATTGACGTTGCATTTAAATTTTTGAAGAATGTAATCACCTTTGAACCAAGTAAGCAGAAGGGAGTTCCAGACCAGAATTCGAGAAAAGAAACAATGCACGACGTTGCAGATTTGTTGTATGCTATTGATCCAATGTGAAAAACCTTCCACTTCAAGTCAGGAGATGAAAACATGATTCAATGAAGACATTCAGACGCTCTTCAAGAGTCGAGCATCAGCCATGCTGATGGCGGGTAGGAAAAGTTCTCTATGGTGCTTAAAATGAGAACAGTTTTGGAAGCATTAAAAAATTTGAACCATTTCCTGCCCATTTAACCACTGATTGGAGTTCCTTTTCAAGAGCATCAGCCAGGTTAATTTTGTCAGCTATGATGGATTTTCAATTGAGACAGGAGTTGCTATTTCTACAAGGAAGATCTATTTTGGAACTGATGACATCAGGAAGATCATTGATGAAGATCCAAACAGATAGACCCAGCATTGAGCTTTGGGACACCTGTCGCGCACGCGTGAAAGGATCTGGAAGCGATCCTGTTCTCACAACCTTCATTTCACGATTTGATAGAACAAATGGATTAAACCAAACAATCATCTAGTAATACTGTAACCCTGGAACTTACATAGAAGATCAGTATGGCAAACCCTGTCAAATACCTTGGAGATATCTAGAGCCACAGTTATTATCAAGAACTTGAGATACCTATTCAGTGATGGCCGTTAGCACGTCAGCAGTAGACCTGGCAAAATGGAGGCCATATTGTTTGTCAGAGAGCAGGTCATAAGAGGTAAGATACTTAACCACTTCAGCATTGATTAAAGCCTTGAATATTTTGCCAAAAAATGGTAGGAGACTAATAGGACAATAGTTAGGAGTCAGAAGGTTCACCAGAGTTCTTAAAAAAGAAACTAGAGAGAAAGACTTCCTACAAGCTGGAAAGTAGGAAGCAGCAAGGCAATAGTTATAGAGTTTGGAGAGAACTAGAGCCAGCTCAGGAGCCTATTTCTTTAGGATAATGGCTGGGATCTTGTCGCATCCACTTGCCTTATAGAAATCTAATTTGGAAATTATGTCTGATATCAGTGATGGGGTTATGTGTATATCACTCAGTAGAACCTCTGTTCTATTGGGGAAATCAGGTGTGGGTGCGCCAAATGAGTAGTGTGTTGAGTTGGAAGAGAATTTCCGAACAAAGCATTCAACCTTAAACAACTGTTAGGTAAGCTTGGTTTATTTTTGAAGGACTTTAGAATAATACAGACCTTATACTGTAAGCTAACTATCTATATGAATGTAGAAAATGAATTCAGTAGACAAATAAAGATATTTAAAACAAGAATGTCTTCTCACCAGTATTATTCAACCTTTATAGTAAAGCAATTCTCGGAAAATGAGAAGACTTACCAGGATACATTAATGGTGGTCACAATCTTAGCAACATTAGATATTCAGCTGACACAATATTAATAGCAGACACAGAAAGGAAACCTCCAGGAACTCCTACGAACGACTATTATGCTTCTTTTTTTTTTCTTTTTTCTTTTTTTTTTTCATTAAAAATTTCTGTATTACAGAAAACTTATCCTGTTTTTTTAATTTTTCCCTTTTTTCTTTTCTTAGGAGCTTTCAGAATAACTTGCTGACCTATAGAAAACTTACTAAGCTGCGCCCACCTCAAGTAAACGAGGACCAGCAAATAGTAAAATCCTTTCTTGTTTTTATGATTCTAATATATTTTTTTTTTTTTTTTTTTTTTTTTTTTTTTTAGCTGTAATTTAAACTATAAGCTTTTGATGTTTCCTTACAATTAAAATAATAATCTGTTTTGATTTGCATCTATTCCTCCTATATTTTCACTTAGTAAACTTTGCAATTTTATTTCTTTTATTGCATTTTCTCAATTTCTTGCCTCTATAACATTTTTATTAAAACCTAAAAACAAGATGATTAATTTAAATATACAAGCATATTGGTTGAAAAATTTAAATTATTTCATGCTTATATAACCTCTATACTGTACACAAATTAAAGCTTCCCCCACTCCAAGCATTTCTAATTTTAATATGAAAAGTTTAAGCACAAAAATATGCCAATCAGATAGTTCAAGGTTTCTTCATATATCTGCCACTTATGTTTTTCTAATTCTATGTCCCTTCAGGATGTAAGTGATTTTTTTTTTTTTTTTTTTTTTTTCAAAATGTCATTTTGTAAGATCATTACATTACACACCTGCACTTTTCCATTGCTTTCTCCATGATTTTGAATTCAGAGTTCCCCTCTTGGTACCACTCAAGTATGCTCTTTCTCCCCATAGTTGGGGGAAGAAATGGATTCATATCAAAGGGCGTCAATGAAAACAAACTGAATATTGTCAGAATTTGAGCTCAGTTCACAGATTTCCACTTTCTGTGCCAATAACCATTATGCTACACACAAAGATAAACAAGTACACAAATAAAAGAAAAAATACTAATATCTAATAAAGTGACCATATTTTTTTTTCATACATTACTTCAAGACATTGATGCAATTTAGATTCCTCAATGTTTTTAATGTTTTTTTTTGTTTTTTTCATTTCATATCACTTGTGCCACTGTTTCATTTCCTCCAATACCTGTTTACATCAATGGGCTTTCCCTCAAGGCATTATTTGGTGCTATGACCAAATGTAATTTTTACATTTAACAATAGTCAATTTCCTATAGTTCATCAAATTAGTTAATAAACCACTCTCCATTCATGTAAGTGGTTGTCCAGATCTAGGTTTATCCAGTTGTCTTATAGGTTTTTATGGTATTGTAAGCAGCACTATTGATAAAACATACCCAGTACAACCATTTAATCTTACATAGTTTTATGATCACATAGTTTCTGGTGACAAATCTCAATTCTAATAAAAATATAACAAAGAATTTCTATACATTAGTGAAAAATAACAAGTACATGTTAAATGATGTTCATGACAAAATAAATGGATGGATTACTATATTTTCATGAAAACTATATAATTTAAAAGGTATAAAATGTCCATTTATTTTATATAAAAAAAAAAAAAAAAAACTATTACACAAAACAATTATTTCTAAAGGAGTATATTCGCATCCCTAAATTAAGTATTGCTACTAAATATTAATGCAAATTCTTACTTCGTGACTTAAAAATACAAAAGAGTATATCATTCTGAAAATACTAAAAATACAAAGTATTTAAAGTGTTTTTTAAAATAAATAACAAAACTTTTATTTTCAAAGAAACCTTTATATGAAAAACTTGTATTGCAGGTTGTATACAATTGAGTATTAAATACTAAATAGATATTTGCAAATTTAATACAACTTTTAAATTCTTTTAGTAATAATTTGGTTTGAAGAATATAAAAATCAAAACTTTTCATTACTTCTGATATTTCTGGTTTCTGTGAGCTTTATCACATTTTTATTTTAGAAAAAGTAATTTTGTAATAATAAAATATATTGACAGCTTGATTGGTCCTTCACTAGAAAACCAGTTAGCTATTATTTAAATAAATTATTCTTTGTGGTTAATATATCTAACTTTTACCATTCTTTAATAGACTATAATACTTCATTTTCAAATATAAATTTAATTAAATTTAACCATAAATATTTATTTCCCATTAGCCAATTTTGAAGTATTTTTAACAATGCAGCATATTACCTGTGTTCACATTCACTCTAATCATAGGATGGTCTTCTGAATTGATATTTCTCCACTTATGAATTTTTTTTTAGCTCCTCAAAATAGCAATAGCAGTTTTCTTTGTTTACAATTTTTACCAATCTAGTTTATTTTAGCTGTTTTGTTAAATCTTAAAGCTGTGTTATTTTTTCTTTTCTTAAATAGTGTTATTTCACCTTGTCAAAGTAATATAACTTTTAAGAGAAAACTCCTCACATTTTCATGTATTAAATTTTTTTAACACTGTGTTAAGTTTTGGGGCTCATTTCATATTTACTACACACACACACACACACACACACACACACACAATCAGTGATGCATCAAATAGTCTTATCTTGGTTTAATATTTTTCATATAAGCTTTGATTTATTTTAATTTGTTAAATATTATGCTATCTCCATTTATTATAGATTCTTTACTTTAGTTTTGGTACCTTCTCAAAAATTTGTCCATCATTTGTGCTACTATTCCTCTACTTAATAATTACTTTTTTTTTTTTTTTTTTTTTACTGTTAGAATACTAAGTTTTCATTAATTAAAACTTTACTGTTTCACTTTTATTTGGCTATCTGTTGGTAAATTAATTCATTAAAATTTAGCATAAATATTTATAAATTCAGTAATAATTATGTACTTTTGCATGTATATTATTAAATATCATCAGATGAATATATTTCTGATGAATTTTGATTTCATAGGTACATGTATCAAATGAGGTAATGTATTTAAACCTTATTTGCACTGAAATATATTGTTTGGGATTTTTATCAAATACTACTGAAATATACACCTATAAAGCATTATAACTGTCAACCATGTTCTCATCCAGAAATTATAACCTTTTGTTTTTTATCTTCTCTGATGGGTTGTTTTTCTTTTTGCTTTTTTTTGCCTTACATATTTTTATAATTTAATATTTTCATTTCTATTTATTCTTGGAAAAAAATGCAGTCATCAAATCAAAGGATGTAATGTTTGTACCCATATTATAGAAAAGTATATCTCTAATGGAATATAAATGATATTGAGCATGAATTTGGATGCCATTTCATTACTTATCTCCTAATGATGATTAAATTTTGTTTAATATTTTCTTATTGGCTACATGCTCAAATATCTTTAACTTTGGCTAATTTGAATTAAGAAATTGATTATGAATACGAGTTGATCAAAAAAAAAACTAAAAAATAGAACTTCTTAAAAATAAAACTTAGTTCTTCATTAATGATAAATGGATAGAATACAAATTTATTAAAATGGATAATTCTAAAAGTCCTTTTATATATCTTAATATTCAGTTGAAATTTGAATTATTCATTGGAAAGTATTGAAATTTACAAGTGTTTATGTATTCTTTTGAATGCCATGAATATTACTGTCATTAAAATATTCTATATGCTGAAACTTTATTTTATTGTATTTTTTAATTTTCTTCATGTATTTGTTTCTTATATATTTTGAAATAAGTCATTTTATAAATCAGATAATGATGTATGTCAAACTTTTCAAAAATGTTTATCTTTTTGTAAATGTTTTAAATTCCTTAATTTCTACATGTCTATCAGTTATTAATCCTTTCATTTTGATCTATTTATATTTTTCATAGAATCTCTTAAAACTTTATTAGGTTTGATAATTAGGAATCAATTGCTTCAGCCTTTATATGATCAGAAAACTTCCTTTTAAAAATGTATTTGATGAGATAATTTATTGAATAACAATTGGATCTGTTATTGCAATTTCAATTTTTGAATAAATTATATCTTAAGTGCTTGTAATATTTCCATTTTACTTTAAACTATAACTATGCTTTCAAGATAAAGCCCTAAAACTATAAAATATCACATGTAAAACAGTAAAAGTAGTTTGGTTTTAAAGTTGTTAGTTTTTGTAAAGGCCACTATGAATAGTTTCATATCATACATTATATTGATAAAGTACTAATACAAGACCAAATTGTTTATAACTAACTTGTTTCCGAAAACTAAATTTGAATAATCTGTCATATTCATGAACTTTTTGTTTCCAATCCCAACTAACCTTAAAGCCTAGGAGCAGTTATGAAATAATATTAATAAAGGGATTATGTTACTTAGCTGTATATATCTCTGGAATATAAAATATAATTTTTTTTCTAATTTAGAAAACTTAAAAATGATATACTTTGCCAGCTTTTTTGCTTGTATATCATTTTTCATGTAAGACTTGTAACAATTAACTTTGAAGTTGAGATTTATATCTGAAATATGCTGACATCAATTTCTCAAATTTATTTAATTCAAATTTTCATTTGAAGTTAACATAACTTCTGTCATTTTGAGAAGAATTATCCTTCCAGAATGAGTAGCTCTTGGTTAGATACTAATATAAAATTTTACATTAAAATTTTACATTAATCAAAAGAATAAGCTACTTAAGGCTCTCCTTTTTATTTTGATAAAATGAAATTCAATGATATAAATAAAAGTTGTAAATTATGAAAAAACTTTACAGTATGTATGTTTTAGTACAATGATCAGACCAATTTGTAATTGTGTATGCATGTGCAAGTATATTTGAAATACACAAAGAACCTGGGGTTTTTTTTTTTTCCTTTTTTTTTTTTTTTCACTTTCTTTTTTTCACTTTCTTTAACTTATACCATCCTATATACTCTTAACTCAACTGTTTTCTCATCACTGTTTTTAGAGCTTTTGTGAACCCTTTGCATTTTTGCTTGTATTTTTTTTAATTATTTTTTTAAGATTTAGAAAAAAATGTATCGTGTATAAAGCATATGAAGATGTTCAGAACTTTATTGTCACTTTTGAATGAAAATCAGTTTGAGAAGCTGCCTCTGGACTTAACTCCCACCAAACACAAAAATTAATGCTTATAATTTAAATGTTTGCACCAAGGCAATAAAAGATCTGTCATCCATGTAACTAGACAGACATGTAGAAACCTAAATTTTAATCTTTTCTAAAACATTTTTTTTTTACCCCTTGGATTAACTAAGTTTATCATTTAAGATACTGAAATGAATAAAAGGCCCATTTATTTTATTTTCTTTGCAAATACTGCAAGTATTTTAACTTTGTTAAAGATTTTTATGAAATTGACAAAAGTTAAGAAATTTATCACAGTTAATTTTTTTTCTATTGTCCTTCATAATAATGAACATATTGATTATAAAATTTAATTTTTTTGAACAATCTTTTTTTTTTTTTCTTTTTTCTATCAGATATTTTAAAAATGTGTGTTGAATTTTAATTTTACCATCCCTCATCAATATGAAACAAAAAGTAACTTTTCATATTGCTAAATTAATGAAAAATGTTAAGAATTTTATCGCAGAAAGTTAATGTCATAACTGTTCTTGAAGCTATATTGCAAAAATGTAAGCAAAGAAAATAATACATTCTGTATAGTTGAGCTATTTTAAACTATGAAACTTATTAAAAATTTTGTCACATAAAGTTAATATTTTTCTCTAACATAATGATTATTTTTTTTTCTTGGAGTTGTACACAAGGCACTGGCCAGAAATAGTTTTTCCAAAGTTGTTTTTCATATTACTATAGATTAAGCACTCCAAATAATTTATTGATCAGCGCATGTTTTATAACAGTGCAAAATGTTATTGAGAAAAACAAAATAACTTCAATTAATGTTGTTAAAGAATACAGCTTTGATCCAGGTCATAATTGCTCAAAATGAGGACCTTTGCTGTATACCATGCTAAACATTTTATAACTTACCAGACCTTGAAACTGGGGTTCCTAAAGATATTAAAATGTTACTTTTGTATATAATACATTAGTGTTATAAGAAAAGACTGTCCTACAGAAGAAATATTTAATACTAATACAACTTAGTTTCAAGAATATGGATTTTTTTTTTTTTTTTTTTTTTTTTATAGATTATGGTAATTTAAAAATTCCACTGGATGCTACAGTTCAGTGGGTGTTTTTCTGATCTATATTTGGTGAAAAGCTTACAGGAATTTTTTTTGAAAAAAATCTTTTAGTTTCTGAAATGCATCATTTTAATATAGAACAAAAGCATGGGATTATATTGTCAAATGTATTTTTTAAAAATTGTATCCTTGATTCTCCTAAGGCAACTAAAAAACCAACATTAAAAGTCTTGAAATTATCTTAAGACTTTAACCATAAAATGTTTATACAATTCTCATTAAGACTTAATATTGAAATTTTATATTTTACAAGTAATAAATCTGTTCATAAAGCTACATTAAAAAGGGCATCAATTCTGAGAAACGTCTACCAGGTAATGTTTGTTTTCACTTTACATATAATGAATTGGTTAACTCACAAAATTATCCTGTTAACTTTTGTCATCTTATCAATGTAAATTGATTTTGATGAACACTATGCATACTGGTAATATCTATTATATAGTGAAATAAGAATCTTCATCTTCTGTAAAATAAACAAACTTGTAGCTGTGACAAAAATTTTAATAAAATTTTACAAATTATCAATTCTTGTTTATCAGATTTTTTTTTTTTTGATTTTTTTTTATTTTGTAAAATGTTTTCTGAATGATACAATTCTATTTTATATGCTCTTAATCAATTAGTGCAAAGACAAGTCATTTTTATACTATCATCTAAAGTTCCAAATTTGTGGTGAATAAAGATTTTTTTCTTTTTTGTACATTTGCTTGGTAGAGGAGGTTAGTTTTGATCTTTTTTTGTATATTTGCATTTATTGAAATTCAATAATAACTAATTACTAAGTTTCTAAAAATAAAAAAATGAAGAAGCTCTCTGTAATTATTTAGCTGTAATTTAGGTCTCTACATGTTTGTCCCCTCTCCAGTCACGTGACTACCAAACTTGTTATAGGTATCACCTTGGTTTGCACCAATTAAATTTACAATGCCAAAAAGAAACCATCTGAATTTCTACAAGAAAAGGCAAAATGTTACTTCTCCCACCATCAATTATTGAAATAAAGTGAAACAAAGTAAAACAAATGTATTAATTCATTTTTACAGTCAGTAATTATTTTTATCATTTTTTTTCTCATTTTAAAAAAAAAAAAAAATTCCAATCTATATTCTATTTTTAGAAAAATAAGAATATGGCAATTATGAACATTGGTGCTCCAGCTTGTGGAATGAATGCAGCAATGAGGTCATTTGTTCGTTTGGGACTTACTCGAGGTTATAACATCATTGGTATCAATGACAGCTTTGATGGATTACTAAATGATAATGTAAGTGTTTCTCTATTGAATTTATTAATTTCCCTACCTGTTTTGAATGAGTCCATCTCTTACTATCAGCAGGTTTGTAAATACCAAGTACAGATTGAGTATGCTTTATCTGAAAGTTTTTCAGGTGCTGACATGACTTGCCATAAATGGAAAATTTCAGAAAGCACTGGGAAGATTCCTAGGTGATGTGCAGCTGTTGTAAGTGGCCTCATCTGCTCTAGGTGGAGGTTCCTCAGCTCAGCTATGTAGCCTATATTGGCGCCAATTTTTTGTTAGCGATTGTCACAGCAGCACCTTCATGATCATGTTTATCTTTTTTTTTGTACATATACAGAAAGTACAAAACATTATTTTTATGTGAAATCTTATTTTCGCCATTTAAAAATCCATGTGAGCATTACATGACTAGTCATTACCTGTATCTGTATGTACACAAAATTTATTAAATTTTATATAAAACTACCTTCAGGGTATATGTATAAGCTGTGTTATGAAATGTAAAGGGATATCATGTTTATACTTTGATTCCATTCTTGATCTACCTTATTTTATATGCAAATTAAATAGCCTGTATTCCAAAGTTAGAAAAAAATCAGAAAACCGAAGCACTTCTAGCCTTATTTCTAGAAAATACAACTCTTCGTATTTGTTTTATTGTAGTCATTTTTCTATCTCTAACTTTAATGACTTCAGGCCATCTCTAAAAGGAGTCTACTAAAATTAGAAATAGTCTAATGCTATCAATGTGTGCATGGTCCATGTAAACATGTGTGAGACTACCCACCTCTGCACTCGTTGCACAAGATATAGACCCCATGTCGTAGAATTTCTGTGCAGCGGATCGAATGTTTAGGCAGGCTCACAGGCAAAAGAAAAACACAACTACAAACTTGGGTAGGACGAAAAAGAGAAGGGAGGGCGTGTGACCTTTTGAGGATAATTAATTCTGGGCTGATTCTCGGCTGGCAAAAAAAAAATCCTAACTAACAATGTCCGGCTGCTAATGTAGACATCTTCGTTGTTACTTGCTTTATGACCTGAATCAACCTTCCTCGGACCTAAACTAAGTCTATCTCTGCTGAAACCCAAAGCGCTCCCGTATATATGCAGAGTCCTCTTTCATCATTTCGGGCAAGGACACCCACTTAATAAACCCATAACTTTTTCATGACCATTTCTACTTTTGAAGAAAGTGGACATAAAAATTTTCCTTCCTAGCCTAGACTCCGATCCAGGGACATTAAATTCAGACCCTTTTAAGTTTTGACCAGAGCCGGTCTTTTAACTATCTTCGTATTTTGACAAGTACTTAACACTTATCTACCCTTTTGGCCATATGTTCAAAACATGTTTTTATCTAGATTCCTCATCACACACGCGTGCGCATATATCCAACTCATAGTGTCACACATGTGACCATGGTTCTGTTTCTTTAACTCATGAGTGTAGTCTCTTTTGTCAAATTCTTTATTCCTGCACATTTTGGTCATTTATGTACATATCTTTCTATATTGCGATAATACCCTGGCCACCATGCCTCCAATTTTAATCTCCTCTGTGTAGCTGTTATCCCACAATGCACATCATCATCATGTACACTTTTTAAAATCTTTTCTTAGTGTTTCTGGTGGTATTATCACATCTTCGTTGCATGTAACAGTTTTCCATCATTAATTTATGCCTTACTTCTTTATAAGGTCTTTCAGCTTTGCAACAATTACTCCACCTGTTTCTTTTAATTATTTCAGCAATCTTGTTTAATATTGGATCCTGTAGAGTTTTTGATACCAATTGTAGAGATAATGTCAGTTTTAACTCAATGTAATATTTCTTCATCTGTAATTTCCACTTTTTTTTTTTTTCTTTTCAATGCTTATTAAATTGTAACCTTGACAGTATTGACATGTGGTATTGTATTTCCCTTTATCTACTCAATGTCAAAAATCATAAGCCATGAATTTTATGGCCCATCTTAGAATCCTGGAAGAAGTAACTTTTGGTAGCTTCTTTCTAGGGTTAAAAATAAACTCTAGAGGTTTATGGTCCAACTTTAATAGGAACTTCTTTCCTAATAAGAATTGTTGAGCTCTTTTTGAATAATTTATTTCTCCTTCTGTCAATCTTCTTGAAAAGTACATTATTGGATGGTCTTCTTGTGATAAAAATGCTGATACTGCATCTGTAGTTAATGTAACCTTTCTGGGATCAAAGATTTTTGCAGTAAGTTTTTCTGTGAGTATTTCTTTTAAATCTGTTGTAGTAAAGAAAAGACTGTCAACTGATAGTAGCAACTGCAATAGATTTCTTCTGTTTCTCAACTGCAACACTTGTAGCCAAATCGCAGTTCAAACGATAGTCTGATGTAACAGTCCAACAAACAATGTAGAAACGACAAAATGGGGTCACACGTCCAACCTTCACTTCTCACCAGCAAAAATGCGTGTTCGTTCCACCAAGCTCAAAAAATCTCCTTTTATCAGTGAAAAACAACGGCTTCTGTTCACTGAGAGAATTTTCTGATTGGTCATGCCATTCAGGGGAGGAAAGAACATTAGCATAGCTTCTAGTCATTGATGTAGATTTTTGCTAACTACTTTTTGGTAATTTTTCTTCAGCAGATTGCACACAAAACACAAACTTTTTTTAAGGTTAACTGATTATCTCTTTCACTACACTCCCCCCTGTCACAAAGTGACAATCATGGGCAGGCATCTTTATTCTTAAGCTTCTCCGGAGCAGGGCGACTGTTGGAGGAGATTGTGTGTTATGTTCTGAGGATTCTTCTGATTTGACAACTTCACACACAGTCTTCGCCATCTGAAGAGGTGCAAGCCCTACCTCCGATGGTAGTTATTCGTTCACTTTCTGAGTAATCACTTCTAGTGTCACTTGTTAAAGTATCTGTACCTACATAGTGACGCAAGTCTTTTATGTGTCTTGGTATTCCATCAACCAGCACAGAGCGCGGGTTACTTACTCCAGTGACATGCCCCACCCGGTACCGAGTTGTACACCGGCTATGTGGAGTTTTTACCCACACATGATCGCCCAAGTCATACAGCGCACGTTATTTTATCCGTTCAGTTGAACGCGTCACGTCAATGCCTTGTAGCCGGACTTTGTGCCTATAAATCATGTTGGCTGGCGCAGTTGAGGGCGATACATTATTGTCTCTCGGAGTAACGTTGTACCAATACACCGCCTCCATTATGGAACACTGCTTCCTAGCAGCGATTCTTTTGATGCTCCGATGACTTCGCTCGATTATGCCATTTCCTGATGGGACATACGCACAGCGAAATCTGAGGTGTACTCCCCACGAATCCCAAAAATCTTTCAATAGTCCACTGTGGAATGCAGTGTTGTTGTCGGTGAGGAGTTCCATTGGAGGTCCACGTTCAAAGAAAAATGACCCCAAGTGGTTAATGACACTTGCGGAATCCTGTGAACGCAGACGTTGCCTAATAGTGAACCGGGTTGGGTCACAGTCAATTACGGTTAAATAGTGATGTCTGTTATAATGGGTGATGTCCATTCCAACACAGTGCCACACCTTGCTCACACTCACTTGTCCTTTTGGCCATTGCACAGGTGCTGGGTCAATGGAATGACACTCCTTGCATTCCCTGACCACTGCCCTGACAGCAGCTTTGGAAATGGAGGGATCAATCTGCCTCACGAAATATAGGGTCCGTTTTACACTGGGATGTCTGCTTTGGCAATGCACAGATTTTAGTAAATCTGAGTTACGGTTGCTCGCTGATGTTGCGCAGACATGTCCTACTGGCTCTACCTCTTTCTTAATAGCGTCAAGCCATTTTTGGGGTACCCTTGTTAAAGTATAGGCCTTGTTCTGATGTGATCTGACCAGCTGTATATTTACGGATAAGTAGTATTCACTTACCAACTTTCCCAGTGTGTCGAGCCACCTTCGAATGAGCATCTCGCTCGCAGCCTTTGTACATATCCTGGCCTTCCCTGTAACAGTGTCTGCTTATCCACTTATACACGCATGCGGAATCTGTGAATAAATGCAACACCTTTGCATTTCATTGAAGGACCGCATTTACTCCCCTGATAACGCCGTCTAATTCCAACAGGTTGATATGTTGTGTATCCTTCTCGGGACGCAACCAACATGTATCTTCCATGACAGTTTCACCTACTTCAAGAGACACTCCTGTTGCAAGGGAGCTCGCGTCGACCCAGACGTGAAATTCACATCCGTCAACACACCATTTACCACATACGGGGTCATCTTGATGTACCCTGGTAATGACTTCTGCTATCATGTGTCTAAGGGGAGCATCATTTGTTGTGTTATCCCAGCCGGAAGTGACAGCAATCACCCTACGTTTGATAAATGCGGTTGCAATGCAGATCCTCCCGCCCATGGGAAAATGTCCCACCAGCTTTCCACATAACGAAAACACACTGCGTCGTGTCATGTGTCTGGGAATGTCCGGGAGCTTGCTTCCACGTTTCCAGTAAAACATGTTGTGCTCCCCCCAGACCTGCAAGCCGACCACACGAGCACCATCCTCCAGTCGTTCTGGGTTCTTACATTCGAGCCCAATGTCAGCAAGACGCTTTCTCACCTGTGCAGCAGGCACTAAGGTTTCGTTGATGTAGATGTCGTCAATGTAAGCTGACGTCGCTTGACGAATTGTCTCATCCTTGGATAGCGCAGCATCCACGATGGCTTTCATGATGGCCGGCGCCACATTGAGTCTGAATCCCGTTCTGGTTAAGCAGTATATCCTTCCATTAAGGATCACTGTCTGAAATGGCCACAGTGACTGGTGCACGCGTACCTGCAAGTAGGCCTTTTGAAGGTCAATCACAGACACATTGGATCCCTTCGTTCGCCATTCTCTCAATTTTTGTGCACACACATCAGCATGAGCCATATATGTGTCTACATGTTTGTTCAGTTCTCTATAATCTAGTACAGGGCGCACCTTTCCCTTGTTCTTTTGTACCACGGCCATCAACGGGATGAGGCCTCTTGGAGGACCAAGCTCTTCCTCGGGATACAGTCAGCCATCCATTGTCCAGCCACACCTGCAATTACTGCTGGTATTCTTCCTTGACACATTCGGGCACGAATACTCTGACACTCGGTTCTGGAGCTTTTTTTATAAAAGTTATTTTCCGACCATTTCCAAAATGCTGTCCATGTCTTCGTCCTTTGGTTGAACTCTGCTCTAAAGTCGGGCTCGTTGATCTTCAAAGTAGCACAGATGGGCGGATCAGAAAACTTGACTTTACCGCCTGCCTCTGTAATCGTCGCTGCCCAGCTCATAATAATATCCATCCCAAGGAGCAGATCAAAACCTAATAACGCGCTGTCCACGACCAACACACTCTGTGATGGGGTCACCATTGTTGATACTGAGTTTGATGTTTCCAACTCCCCGTCTTCTGAGAATTTTCCATCAGCCGTTAAATACGTCCATCTTTTGTCTGCTCCACTGTCGATCAATCGAACCATTCGTGAGTGACAGAGCAGCCAAGAATCTACTAAAGCGGCAGCGTTATTCCATTGATGCGCACCTTAATCACAGGGAGTGCCTCTTTCATGCTCGGTGCAGGGAAGAGATCGATGCTGACGTCATGTCCCCCATTCCATTTCCCGGACACTTAGAGGGAATATGACCTACTTTATGACATTGGAAGCATTGTAGATTGAGACGTGCCTTTCACACTGACCTGCTGCACATTTCTTCGCGTTGATAGCGGCAGTCTTTGGCAAAATGATTTGGCCTAGAGCACTGATAGAGGGTGACATCGCCATGGCGACGGATGGCTGGGTCGAACCGTCTTTGACTTCAATTGGTTGAACGACTGCGACCACTGGTTTATCAGCCTCTTTTTCGTCAATCATGATAGCACAGGCTCTGGTCAACAATTGATTGAGTGTCAGGTCTTCCATTCTGGATGATGCGTGGAGTATCTGCTTAATATGACTAGGCAATCCAGACACGAAGGCACATGTGATTCATTCTTCAGGAAGCAGTGCGATTGGAACGGCGAGCTTCTTTAATTCTGCCAAATATATGTCTACTGTCTCGCCAGGTCGCAGACGTCTCTCATGGAATTGGTCGTGGCCACGAACCGGTCAGTTCCAAACACTGTACTTTATTTGCTCAATGTCACTTTACTGTTCTTTGCTAAGCTGCCTATACACAGCAAGGGAACCACCTTTCAATCGCAGTGGAATAATCCATTCAATCTTCATGATCTCGCATAATTCAGACCAGTTCCACATTTTCAATCCATTTAACCACAGACTGTCCACTCGTATCACCACTGAATTCGGGGATCAGTTTTATGTTGAACGGTCTTTCTGCCATCTTGCTAGAGACAAAGTAAATACCAAAATAGCTTGTTGTAGTAAAGAAAAGACTGTCAACTGATAGTAGCAACTGCAATAGATTTCTTCTGTTTCTTGACCGCAACACTTGTAGCCAAATCGCAGTTCAAACGATAGTCCGCCATAACAGTCCTACAAACAACGTAGAAACAACAAAATGGGGTCACACGTCCAACCTTCACTTCTCACCAGCAAAAATGCGTGTTCGTTCCACCAAGCTCAAAAAACTCTTCTACTTTTATCAGCGAAAAACAACGGCTTCTGTTCACCAAGAGAATTTTCTGATTGGTCACGCCATTCAGGGGAGGGAAGAACATTAGCATAGCTTCTAGTCATTGATGTAGATTTTTGCTAACTACTTTTTGGTAATTTTACTTCAGCAGATCGCACTTGTAGTCATTGATGTAGATTTTAGCTAACTACTTTTTGGTAATTTTTCTTCAGCAGATCGCACACAAAACACAAACATTTTTTTCAAGGTAACTGATTATCTCTTACACTACAAAATCATTGAAAATACTTGCTTTGAGTCCAATTAAATTTCATCTTAATAATCTGTCGGGGTATTTATTGTGGTAATTTCTCTTAATTTATCATCAATCTGCATTTTATTGTAGGCTTATTTTAAGTCAGTTTTGCAATTTGTGGATAGTGGTTTCAATTTTGGAAATAGGAAAAGAGTCTGAGCATATTTTATGATTTACATCTATTTTAAAATCACATCACCATCTGCTTTTTACAAGATAACAATGGGAGAGGCCCATTTACTGCTACCTGGAAGAACATGCTCCAAAATTCCTCTACTATTTTCTTTAACTTAGCAACTACCAAAGGTAAGGATGTGGTGGATTGGTAATTGACAAGATTCAAAATAAGAGTTGGTACTATTCATTTAATTGTATACTTGCTTTATACTCCTTTTAACACTCCCATTTTTACTTTTTCTGATTAATTTTGACATATCCACCTTTTTAGAACATCTATACCTAGTAGTCTATGAATTTTTTTTACATTTCACTACTAGGAATAATTTCAAATATGTCACAGGTTTCAAAAGTTCTATTGAAGTATCCCAAAGTTTTTATAAACAATCCATCAAATTCTTTCAATTTCATGACTTTTTTCAATTTTGGTTTAACCATTTGTTCCCAGAAATTTTTGGAATCAAAGCGACTTCACTCCGCATATCCACTTGCATTGGAAACGTGCCATTTAATTTTTTTTCACTATTTTTTTATACTATTTTCCTTTTAAGCTTGCATACAGACTGAAAATTATTTTTTCTTTGGCAGTTATGGCAAAATCTTTCAAAACTGAGCCACATTTTTTATGTCAATTTCATGCTCATATTAATGCATTTGTAGGTGACCACCATGACTTGGGAACAACAAGTTATTAAAATAATAAATAGTAAAAATTTTGATCCTTATTGGGTACAAAAAAGTAAGTATATCTTCAGTTTTTAATAATTAAATAACTTGCATTCATTATCACAAAACTTTTAAATCAGATTTTTGTAATTATTTCCTGCATAGTATACAGATTTTACCAGAAACTAAATTTAATACATTTTTGCCAAAAATTTAAAAAAAAAAAAAAACTATGCTTGTTAACTCACAGCTTTACAGTCACCAAAAATAACTACTTTTTAACATTTTTTTATTTTAATATTCAACTGGCACATTTTACCTAACACTTAAATGTAAAGATCAGAAGTCTATCATTTACTATACTAATAAATTAAAACATTTTACATGTAATTTTTTAATTTATATAGGTAACAGATTTATATTTTCTTATTACTTCATATTAGAGTTTTATTGCATCTTACAGTTCAATTTGTGTATTCTTATCTAACCATTTAATTCCAAATACACTGAAGTTCCTTTTGCCAAAATATTCTTTTTCTTTTCCGGTAGTTTATAATATTGATTTTAATTAAAGGAAAATGTTTGACATTTTCTTTTGAACATCATTTGATAAGTTAAATTTGTTTAAATTTTTACACAATTTGAGAAAATAAAAAAATAATTTTTAAATTTCTCTTTATGCAGATTCAAAAATAAGTTTTTCAAGTAAAAATTGTTTACATCATCATACCTATTTATCTTTTCAAATTTCTATTTGTTTGGTGCCTTCAATTGCATTTTTTCCTTTTTCATATTGACATTATTATAGATATTTGCTAATCTAAACACCTAGTTGCACATCTACATTATTGCTTCATATTTTATGTGCATATTACACACAAAATGCTGCTATTTATCTCTCATAAATGTAAAACCATTACTTATTTTGAGTAATAAATTTTTATTTTATTTATCTTTATTTTAAACACTTTGTGATAGTTATGTATAACATATAAGCACTGAATTAGATTTATGCTACTCTCTTAAATCTAAATTTTGGATATTCTAAAATTCCTTAGTCTATGAGCATTTATTTTCTTTGGGAATGCTAACATTGTCATTTTGTTGGTTACTTCATTTTCAGAATGATTGCTGGAAAGTTGGGTTTGGAAAAGATTTCTGCTAAATTTTGCCAATACAAAATCCATGCTCTCTGTGTTATTGGTGGTTTTGAGGTAGGTTTTTGTGAAAATTTATCTTTAATGGTTACTTGTTAAATGAGTAAAACTTATGTTGTACACTTCTGGTTTTGAAATAGTCATAATAGCAATGGTAAGTTTTAACAAAAGCAAAGAATATAAGTAAAGGAAAAAATTTTTGACTAATGAAGACAATTGTAAAAAAACATTCTGTTATGTTTAATAACAATATTCTGTCAGTAATAATTGCATCATTTCCTAATCACTGACAATTCCTTTGTTTTAATGCACAACATAAAATTTTGGCATTGAATCTCTCAAACATTTGGGTAATAGATTGTCAAATTTTGTTTCATTCTTACAAATTTTGTTTCATTCTTACAAATTTTGTTTCATTCTTACAAATTTTGTTTCATTCAAAATTTTGTTTTCATTTACAAATTTTGTTTCATTCTTACAAATTTTGTTTCATTCTTTTAAATTTTAAATTTTCTTACAAATTTTGTTTCATTCTTACAAATTTTGTTTCATTCTTACAAATTTTGTTTCATTCTTACAAATTTTGTTTCATTCTTACAAATTTTGTTTCATTCTTACAAATTTTGTTTCATTCTTACAAATTTTGTTTCATTCTTATAAAAATTTTGTTTTGTTTCATTCTTACAAATTTTGTTTCATTCTTACAAATTTTGTTTCATTTTTGGACAAATTTTGTTTCATTCTTTCAAATTTTGTTTCATTCTTACAAATTTTGTTTCATTCTTACAAATTTTGTTTCATTCTTACAAATTTTGTTTCATTCTTACAAATTTTGTTTCATTCTTACAATTTACTATAAATATTTAATCTATTAATATGTATGTATGTAGTAACAGTAAAGTTAGTGGATCATAGAAAAGCTGAACATACCTATAAGGCTATATAACTTATCACTGAAAAAATGAACTGGAAGTAGTGTGATGGTTTGGGCAATGTTCTGCTCAGAAATACTGGGTTTTATCATCTATGTGAAAGGTACTTTATTGCATACATGTACTTCAATATCATTGAAGACAAAGGTACACTTCTTCATAGCAACATCCTTCTTTAGTGGCATCTTTCAACAGAACCTTGCTACAATGTTGAAATATGGGAATGGTTTCAGGAACATTAAGACTTCACTGTGTTTTATTCATCAACTGCCCAATTGAGCATTTATAGGATGTATTGGAGCAACAAGTTTACTCTACAGAAATTCCACTTGCAAAAGTTAACACACTTGCTGTTAACATTCTAGCACCAGATCTCAAAGGAAACCTTTTTAGAGGTATTGTAGAGGCCAAGTTTGAAATGTTTTTGTGCACATGGAGAATCAGTATCATATTAGACATGTGTATTTAATATATCCTCTGTACTATATTGCAAAATGTACAGTTACTATAAAATAATTATCTATCTCTTTGTAATGTTCTTACAAATAGCTGGATTTCATGGAATTCTTTTAATGTACTTAAATGATATTTTATAGCTATTATTTGAATTGAATTATTAAAAAAAATTTTGTAATTATTATTACTGGCCCTTCGGCATTATTCTTCTAAATGTTTTTTTCTTTTATTACAGGCATACCATAGCATAGTACAGTTATGCGAGGCTCGTTTCCGTTTTCCAGCATTTTGCATACCCATGGTGGTTATCCCCTGTACTATTAGTAACAATATCCCAGGCACAGATTTTAGCTTGGGAGCAGATACTGCAATTAATGAAATTACGGATGTGAGTACTTTAAAATGACTCAACACTAAAATGGAAAAAAAAAATTCATCTATGCTGTATAGTATTTAACATATGATTGATTTTAATATTGTAAAAATATGGCATCATTTGAATGTCATTACAAGAAATGTTCACTATGTATTAACTTATATTGATAAAGCTTTTTTTTCTTTTGTGAGCCTAAACACAGATTTCATAACTATATGAAAATATTAACTCATGATAATCAATACAAAATGATTATAGTTACTTATATAGTTAGTATATATTGTGGTTTAAATAAAGTGAACAAGAATGATGAACTTCTTGTACTCACCAATTCCTGTCATAGATATGAGCAAGAAGGGAAAATATTATGATTGCATAGTGTCTCTTTTCTCTTCAATTGCTCCTCCTATTTCTCTCTCTCTCTCATCTTCATCCTTTTAAGTTTGCCAATCACAATGCTTCTGCCTGCCTAATATTCCAAAACCAGTTTAACAAAAAAGACCCCAAAAATAAAGCAAAAAAACTCTACTAAATCCCCACCTTATATTGACATTTATTATGTTTATTTGCTGGTATCAAGCTAAGTGATATTTCTTCTTTTATTAAAACCACAATTATTTACCTGTACTGTCTGGTATTATGAAAACAAGTAGAAAGGCCAGTGTGGTAATATGAAAAAATTTGATACATTTAAAATTTCAGTATTTTAGTGTAGATTAATTCATTACAATGCTGTGTGAATATATTTACAAAACATTGTAACTATCTATGGTCTCATATTTTTGTAATTTTTTGTTTTATTTTATAGTTGATATCAGATATCAGCCACATTTAAATTCACAATTCATTTAATTATTTAATGATAGCTTAAATTTCCAAAGAAAATGAATATTACTTAATTGTTATGTTTACCTTTATTGTACTTAATAAATTAGGTAATGAGGACAAAAATAATTGAATTTGAATATATTAAATTCAGCTTTTGTATTCTACTTGTACATGTTTCTATTCTACTTTTACATTTTCTTTTCACTTGTGATTGGGTGTTCAGAATTAGTAAATTGATTTGTTTACTATTTTGGTCATATAAATTGAACTGATTAGCAGCTAACTGAAATGGTAGATCAATTTAAATACAATCTAGTTATATAGTAAAATAAATTCATAATTTTGTACATATTACCATGTATTAGAACTTGAAATTTTATTCGCTAAATTCATTTTTTAACATGAATGAAAATGAGTAAGACTTTGTGACAAATCTTGTACATCTTGTATATAAAGTACAGTGTATGTGTATGTCCAAGCAACTCCTCTGCTCCCACTGGTCCAATTTCAAGGATTCATTGCTCATTCAAAAGCCCCAGAAAAGTTAGGCACAGGGAACAATTTTCATTAAACTCGGATTTGCTAGATTATGCAAGGTTAAAAATATAAATTAATATATTATACTAGTCATTATAATTACTTTCATGGTTCAAGGGAAGTAACTCGTATTTTCCTTTTGTATCCAAAATTGCAGTTTTATTATAAACTAGTTTAAAATCTGCCCTATTGGGCAACATTTAAGCTGTGGAGGACACTTGGTTTGGTCATCATCACAATAGCTAGGTAGAAGTAGATGCAATAGGCATTAATAAACTACAGAAGAACTCAAAATTGATCACTGCATTTAAGTATTGAATTAATGTTCAAGCTTACCTTTTAAAAAGTTCAATGATAATTCTTCTGCTGCCACTTAATTTAAAGATGATTTGATGTATGTAGATCCATACAATTATTTTTATTTCATGGTTGACAGAACAGTGGATAATTTATAAGATAAAATTAATATAGTCTAAAAATAGGGAAATAGAAATTAGTTCTACATTAACATTTGAAGAGTTAAAAAAACATTTTAAGATTAGAAAACCTATATTATGGAATCTATATTAATAAAAAGGAGAAATTGGAGCTCAATTCTCCCACAAATTTTGAGATTAAAAAAATCCTGAGCCCCAGCATCTGTTGGTAACCTTGGTGCAATCACTGATCCTCTCTCTAGTGCAATGAGAGGGCATAACCTCGGGCATCTGTTTCCCAGGGTTGGCACCTCACAGTATAATTTTCCTCAGTTGCAACTCTGTCCTTTGACAGAGCTGCTCCTGAGTGTATATCTGCCCAAAGATAGACACAACTGAGAGATGATAAATAAACATGTTACAAACTACTTTCTATTAATTTACATTTTTATTTCTGATGGTCACTAGGATTGAGATGTGGCTTGAAGAGGAAATTTTTAAAGCTGGGGACCTTCACCTATCCTTGTCCTACATAATCCGAACAAAACAAAATTCATTCATTATAACCATTGCTTTTATTCACCAAAAAACTCATCCATCCCACCTCTTCCATATACTGCAATACTATATTCAAAGGGGCCTACAAAACACCTCATGACATTTTCTATTTGAAAGTTTGTCTTTTACAAAATATATAAAAATTTCAAAATTCTTGAAATGATGCAGGTAGGGGGAAATGATGTTAACTAAAATGTAAATGTGTGCCCGATTAAAATAAAAATTTCTGTAAATATTAGTAGAAAATGCCCACCCACAAAAATAAAAAAAAAATGGGAGGGTATTTTCCAACAGACAGAATCACTGTCTTAATTTAAAAGATTAAAAATTTTTTTTTTGAATGGGAAAATAATGGCTGAATATTCCTAAAATCAAAACAACAAAAACAAACTGTGGAGGCTACATCCAATAATACCTCATTGTAAAGCTGAAAATCCTAAATAGTCCCCATCTTTGTTCAAATCGTTGTATGTAATAGTGTCAACTTAACCAAAGGAAATTAGGAAAATTTAAATTTTGTATAAAAATATGAAATAAACTATTTAGAAAATTTGAAACAAAATCATTGTTAACCAATATTTCCCCCCCATAAAAATTTTTTGCTTGTCAGTTCACTGGAATGAAATCAATTTATCTGTATAAAATATACCTTTTCCATTCATTCATCCTGCACTCACAAGACATGCACTCAAAAATTGATGATACATACAAAAAAAGTAAAATCAACCAAAATCCATCCACTAAAGAACAGACATCAAACATTATCTTAACATTCTAGAATAGGATGGCAATTTTCTTTAAAAAAATTTTTAACAGTTTTTTCTTTTGCCAATGAACAGACACACATCTGCTAGCTTTAACTGAGAAA